CCTACCCCCGAGCTCCTGGAAAACACCATCTTACATTATGTTTCTACGAGTTTGACTAGGTACCTTGCATTTCTTTGTCTTCTTTGGAGAAATGTCTATACAAGTCCTGGTCCGTTTTTTAATCTGATTTGTGTTTTTTTGGCCATCGAGTTATATGAGTTCTTTATATATTTGGAATAACAATCCCTTATCTGACATAAGACGCGCAGTGTTTCCCTCGTCCTGTACGTTGCCTTTGCTGCATGGATGTTTTGGTTTTTGTTTTTGTTTGAGTCAAAGGACAGTCTTGCTTTTAATCAAGTTCCAAAATGAGGGTATACAGCTTTGAGAAAAGTGCTGTCCCAGCAGAAGGTGCAAGGGTCTGCGTACAAGAGTTCTTCTAGAAAGTTTCAAAGGGTCCAAATGTAACCCCAGTGTTGCTTCTGCTTCCCCTCCGCGCCGTGCCATACCCAGAGCCTGGAGGCTGCGTCCTCCAGCGGACATCGAGACTATTGTAATGTTCCGTCAGAGCATCGGGGTGTCTGCTGAAGTCCTCTGCTCTCCGCTTGTAGGTTTTGGGTTCCTTCCTCAGGATCCTTTCCATTTGCCACTTCTCCTGCACCTTCTCGAAGGTTCCCTGGGCTGGGTCGGCTTGTCCAGGCCACACCCCCTCTCCTCCTCATCCTTTTTGTCTGTCCCCATCACTTCAGAGCTCTGGTCACTCCGAGCTCGGCAACACCTTTCAGCTTCAGGGGCCCCAGTGGACCTGCTCGTGGTCCGTCACCAAGTGGGCTTGGGATTTCGTTTGATGTAGTGACGCTTGTCTGTTTCCGCTTTTGTTGCCTGTGCTTTTGGTGTCATCGTCAAGAATCATTACTCAGTCCGATGTCATGCCACATCCCCTCTAGGTTTTGTTTTGAGTTGTGTGAGTTCAGGTCTCATGGTCAACCCATTTAGAGTTCGCGTTCTCTGTGATGCATGCTGCGGCTGGAACGCGCACATGTGAGCCACCGCCGTGGGGTTAGGAGGGCGCAAACTCAGTCGCCTGTGGTGTTGAGAGGTGAGGCCTTTGGGAAGAGATGAGGGTCTGGTGGGGATCCCGCGATTGATCCATGGTAGGGACCGAGACAGGACACGTGGAAGCAGACACAGTCCCTCCTGCCCTCCGTGATCTTACCTCACCAGCGCCACGCCCTGGGCTTTGGGCCTCCAGAGCATGAGCTCTTAAATCACCTGCAGTCAGATATGTCTGTTACTGGCAACAGGATGAAATACATGGTGTAAGGTAGAGTCCGATCTCATTCCTCTGCGTGCGTGTACCCACTTTTCCCAACATCATTTGGAAGAGATCACCCTCACTGTGTAGTTCTGGCACTCTGTTGGAGACTCGTTTGACCTCTGTATATCAGAGTTTATTTCTAGTGTGTTCCATTGGATACATATCAGTCTTTATGCCAATACCACACTGTTTTGACTACTGTAACTTTGTAGTATGTTTTGAAATTAGGAAACTGGAAGCCATCAGCTTTGATCTTTTTCTTCACAACGTTTTTGGCTCTTTGGGGTCTCTTAAGAGTCCATCCGAGCGTGTCGTGCCCTGTGCTGCCCAGACTAGCGAACAGTACAGTCAGGATGGCTAAAGGTGACCCCAAGAAACCAAAGGGCACGGTGTCTGCTTATGCCTTCTTTGTGCAGACCTGCAGAGAAGAACATAAGAAGAAAAACCCGGAGGTCCCTGTCAATTTCGCTGAATTTTCTAAGAAATGCTCCGAGAGGTGGAAGACAATGTCTGGGAAAGAGAAGTCGAAATCTGATGAAATGGCGAAGGCGGATAAAGTACGCTACGGTTGGGAAATGAAGGATTACGGACCGGCTCAGGGAAGCTAGAAGAGAAAGCACCCTAATGCCCCGAAAGGCCACTGCCCGGATTCTTCCTGTTCTGTTCAGAATTTCGCCCGAAGGTCAAATCCACCAACCCTGGCATCTCTGTTGGAGACGTGGCACAGGAGCTGGGTGAGACGTGGAACAACCTGCGTGACAGCGAGAAGCGGCCTCACATCACCAAGGCCGCGAAGCTGAAGGAGAAGCAGAGAAGGATGTTGCCGACTGTAAGTCTAAAGGCAAGTTTGATGGCGCAAAGGTCCTGCCCAAGTTGCCCGGAAAAGGTGGAGAGGAAGAAGAAGACGAGGAGGAGGAGGAGGAGGAATAAAACCCCGTTGCTCTGTCTCCTTGTGAATCCCTTAGCGCAGGGAGCGCGTAATCGCACCTCTCAGTGGAGGCGTGTCTACTGCCCTCACTGGTTTAACTGCAGCACTGGACCACGATCATGCGTCTCTCAGAATGCTCTAGAAACTGTCAGTGGTTTACATGAAGTGGCCATGGGTGTCCGGAGCACCCTGAAACTGTATCAAAGTTGTACACGTTTCCGAACATTTTTAAAATGCAAAGGCACTCTCGTGTTCTCCTCACTCCGTGCACTTCGCTGTTGGTGTGACAAGGCATTTAAAGATGTTCCTGACATTTTTGTTTCCCTGAATTCGTAAGGTGGTGTTAACTATATGGTTATTGGCTAGAAATCCTGAGTTATCAACTGTACATATCTCTGGTCTGTAGAGAACAGAACCACCGAGACAATCTCTCCACGCTCCTGGCTTGGCAGAGGCTGCGGGAAGGGCGCCCGTCGGAGGGGCCGTGGCTCAGGGCGTGCACTGGGAAGCTGGACCCGTTGACTCTGCGGTGACCTCCGTGTAGGCGTCAGGGTGTCTTGTACATAGTGACCTAGCGTTCTGCCATTCTAATAAAAATTATCAAAAGGCCCATACGTTTACCTGAAAGTTTAAAGCTCTTCATATTTGAGATGCTGTCTCAACTTCAAGTATCCTCCTTCATTTCTTCTTCACGTGAAAATTCAGTTCAACCCAATAGTTTGCTTGCTGTTCCCTGGACTCCTAAGAATTTTTTCTGTTATTTTTTTGTATGTTTAGAATGCTGAAATGTTTTTGAAGTTCAATAAACATCAATGCATTTCTAAAAAAAAAAAAAAGAGTCCATCCAAATTTTTAGATTTCTTTTCACTACCTGCAAAAATGCCACTGAGAATCTGACAGGCATTGCATTGAATTTTTAGATTGCTTTGGAGAATATGAACATCTTAAAAACACTAAGTCTGGGGCCAGCAGGTGGTGTGGTGGTTCAATAAACATCAATGCATTTCTAAAAAAAAAAAAAAGAGTCCATCCAAATTTTTAGATTTCTTTTCACTACCTGCAAAAATGCCACTGAGAATCTGACAGGCATTGCATTGAATTTTTAGATTGCTTTGGAGAATATGAACATCTTAAAAACACTAAGTCTGGGGCCAGCAGGTGGTGTGGTGGTTATGAGCACTGGACTCCCACATGATCAACCGTGGTTCGAGTCCCAGACCTGGTGACTTGCTTTCTTACTTTCCCTCTCTCTCTCTCTTTCTCTCACGCTCTCTCTCTGTCCCTCTCTGGTCAAATGAAAGTAAATAAATAAAGTGAAGTAACATAATTATTTTTAAAAATATATTATAAAAATAATTAAAGAAAGTTAAATTTAAAAAATCTGTTTCCAATTCATCAAAACAAGATGTCTTTTCATTTGTGTCAGTGTACAAGTATTTTGCCTCCCTGGCAAAATAAGTTTATTCTTAATTTTTAAAGCACTTTTGTTTTTCCCTTTCTTTTTATTTATTTATTTATTTATTTATTTATTTATTTTTTAGAGCTTCTTTCTTTCATGACAGGGAGACAGCAGGAGAGAGAGAGCGTAAACAAGTACCCTCACAGGCTCTCGCAGCGAGACCCCCCACGCCTCCCCACCCAGCCAGGGTCATGAGTTTGTGCACCTGCCTCGGCGTGCATAGGCTGCCCGGGGGAACTGGACTGCGCTCCCCCACTTAGCCTCCAGCATGGCAGAGCAGTCTGTTGTCACTGCGCTACCAAAATGGGCCATGCGGTGACTTTGTCTTCAGTAACCGAACACTGGGAATAACCCGAATGTCTGCAAATAGGTGAATGGGTAAACGGAGATCAGAATGCTGCTCGGCTATAGGTGTGAAGGAGTCATATAGACATCATCAGGAATCTCTAATACATGAACGAATAAAAACAGGAAGGTGAGGGACCAGCAGTTGGCGTAATGCCTATGTCGCTGGACTCCCATGTAGTCGACCGTGGTTCGCGTCCCAGACCCGGTGGCTTAAACTCACACCGGGCGCGTGTGCGTGCGTGCCCAAGATCCCGAGAGGAGAATGGAGGAGAAGGGATTGCGGCGTGATCATCCCCCCTGGGGGGTGAATTCTCACTTTCTGTCTCTCTTTCTCTCTTTGTCTTTCTGGTGAGTGCACGCGCCCTATAGCAAAAAAAACTCTCAAAAAAAAAAACAGTTTATAGAAAATGAGTATTATGGAAAACTTGAGCATGTGTTTCAAAACTTTTTGCACCCAAATAAGCTCTACTTGGATTCCATTTTCCACGAACTTTTCAAACCCGTGTGTCCATTAGGTCCAGTTTGTCCACTCTGCTGCTCAAGTTCTTCGTCTTCACTGCTCTGTTTGGTTACCCTCCCTTCAGCCTCGCTCGGGTCCCATTGTGGAAATGGCCGCCTTGGAATTAGCACTGCCTCACAAACATCCTTTCAAGAGCTGTAGCTGTATCCGCTCCACTTTTTTCTGGTGTCAGCCCTGCCCCACCCCAGGAGTTAGCAAATAACCCAAATTGGGGCAACCATGTCCCCTAGGTTAGTGATTGCTCAAGTAATACGGAACCAAAACCTCACCACTCAGAATCCTACCCTGGCGGAGCCAGCAGGCGACATAGTGGTTAAGACACTGGACTCCAGGGACCAGCAGTTAGCATATTGGCTATGTCGCTGGACTCCCACGTAGTCAACCGCAGTTCAAGTCCCGGACCCGGTGGCTTAAACTCATGCCGGGCACGTGTGCGTGCGTGCCCAAGATCCTGCGAGGAGAATGGAGGAGAAGGGATTGTGGTGCGGCCATCCTCCCTGGGGGGTGATTTCCTGCTTCCTGTCTCTCTGTCTCTCTCTGTCTGGCGAGCACATGCGCCCTATAGCAAAAACCTCTCAAAAAAAAAAAAAAAAGACCCTGGACTCCTATGTGGCCAACCATGGTTCAAGTCCTAGACCCAGAGACTTGAAACTCATGCTGGGCACATGTGTGTGTGTGTCCCAAAACCCAAGAGAAGAATGAGGAAGGGGGGTGATTTCTCACTTTGTCTCTCTGTCTCTCCAGTGAGTGCATGTGCCTTATAGCAAAATCGCAGGAAAAACAAAGACTCCTCCCAAGACTCTCACAGTGTAGGAGGGAGAGCAGCCAAAGCCACGGCTATGTGAGGGCCCTCAGCCGGCCCCAGAGCTGGAAACTTCCGGCTGAAGATCTTGCGCTGTTGGAGTGTCTCATCCCAATCAGCCTTGCCCTTTACCCCTGTAACGCGCCAACCTTTCTTTCACTAAGGTTAGTTCAGGGGGTTCCGTCGTTGGTAACCAAAGTCGCTTCCAGCAGAAACGCCAAGAATGAAAACAAAACAGCTTTTTTAAAAAAATTATTTTATTTAACTTTATTTGTATTACTATTATTATTTTTCAGTTTGATCAGACAGAGAAGGTGAGAGAGCAAGCCGCCAGGTCCAGGACTTGAACCACGGTCGGCCATGTGGGAATCCAGTGCCTTTAACCATCACGCCACCTGCTGGTCCCCCACAAAACAGCTTTTTTAACAGTCCCAATGACCAAAGAGCACAACCAACAAAGACAGAGGGAAGCGCCTCCCGACAGGACCTGCCTAGGTGTGTCTGAGGGTGGCAGTGCCCAGCCTAGTTGCCAGCTGTCCTTGCCAGGTCCTAGGGGCACTCCAGAGACCCAGCAGCAGGAGCAGGTGGGAGATTGGGCTCGGGAGGCCAGGCAGCAGTCACTCGGTCAGCTCTGACATTACGCAGGCCCAGGCCCCTCGAGGACAGCTGCAGGCAGGGCCCGGCCTGAGACCCCCCACGCCGGAGAACACGCCCCAGGATGGGGCTCCTCTTCTGTGCTGTGCGCGCAGCACTGAGGGATCTGGGCAGGATGGCAGCTGGCCTCAGCAGGTCACATTGCTGAGCTCACCACACAGAAATGGGCCCTTGGCCACGCTGAGGCTGGGGTTGGTAAACCCTGAAGGGGTCCGGCCAGGGTAGGCGCCATTCTGCTTCCCCACCCCGGCCACTTCAGGGAGCTATTGCAGCTCCCGAACGGCCAACAGCCTCACCTGGGGTCTGCTCCGGCTCTGGAGGATCCTGTGCCTCCAGGATCTGTGAGAGAGCTGGGGGAGAAATGCCGCCTCACGTCCTTGTTGTCACTGGGCCGGTGCTGAGACCAGGGCTGCGCCTCAACCGCCCTTCCTTGCGTCATCTTTCTGACTGAACTAATGGGAGAGGGTTCCGCTGTTTGCAGCCAGTACCTGGACAGAGTAGGCGTCACCGGGCGACTCGGCCTGCATGCAGGCAAACAGCAGGAGCGGTCCAGGAGGCCACCTGGACCCAAGGAAGTTCTCCAAGGCAGCGACTCCGACACGTACCGTTTATTAAAGAGGGACAGAGAGGCCGGGGCCTGAGCCAGCAGGCAGTGCCCACCCCGACCTGGAGGGCACACCCAGGGCAGTGTGCGGCCTCACTGGCTCTGCCAGACTCAGGCGGTCCTCAGCAGTCGGTGAGCCCAGAGCAGAGCCAGGAGCAGCGGCCGGGAGGGCTCCGGCCCCAGTGCACTGCGAGACATCTGCATCTGGATCCAGTGGAAGTAGGCACTGACGTTGGTGTAGACGCCAGGCCGGTTGGGCCGGCCACAGCCCACTCCCCAGCTCACGATTCCAACCTGGTACCACAGTCCGTCCTGGTCGCAGACCAAGGGCCCCCCGGAGTCACCCTGTGGAGCAGCGAGGGAGTCCGGCCTGGGGCTGGCGGGCAGGACCAGTGGGCGGCAGGAGAGCAGGAGGGCAGGGGAGCTGGGCAGACGGGGTGTGAGTGTGTGTGTGTGTGTGTGTGTGTGTGCACCCTACTGTCCCGCTCCCCCTTCCCAGGGTTGGCGTGATGACAGAGAAGGTACAATTTATGGAAAAGGAGCCACACACTTTATAGTTCCAGTAAACACGGATGGTGCCTTTTTTCATAAATAATCTCCCAGTGGCTGGCGAGAGCCTAAGAGGGACTGGTCCAGGGTTGGGAAAGAGGGCCCCCTGGTGGTGCGGCACTCACCTTGCAGGTGTCTACGCCACCTTCCTCAGATCCAGCACAAAACACGTAGTCGTGGATTTTACTGGGACCAATGACCTGTGAGAACAGGTATCTGCACCTGGTGTTGTTCAGGACGGTGACCTGCGCTTCCCGGAGGCTGTAGGGGGGCGGCAGAGTTGCTGGGGGTAGAACAGAGAAAGGAGAAACCTCAACCTCTCCTCCACAGGGTGGGGCGCGGTGCGTGCTGCGGTGGTGGGGGCCCTGGACAGCACACTGGGAGACCCCGCCTGCCCAGCACCAGCACACGTGGGTGAGCAACCATGTCACTGGGGACCCAGTGGCTGTGCAGACTGTCACAGCTCCCCCAAAGACTCAGTTTCCCTATTTCAGAATGGAGACGAAGCCCGAGCCTGAACCAGTGGACATGACCCAGGTGACGACGCGAACAGGACAAGGAGCTAGGACGCTGAGAGGGTTTATGATCAACACACTGCAGCTGCAGGTTAGTCTGAACGTTACCAAATGATTTCAATTTTATTAAAGATCTGAATCTGTAGACTCAGGAAGCAGAACAGATCCCATCTAGGAGAAATACAAAGAGACCCACGTTAAGACTGTTAGAAGCGATCTATCAAAAGACAAAGAAGGTTGTGATGGCCGAAATGACCTGCCGAGCACACAGACACCTCATCAAGATAAACAGCTGGTTTAGTTTCAAAAAATGGAGGCCAGAGAGCGATGGAATGACATAATGCATAAGGAGGAGGTGGCAGGCGGCGGGTGGTGAAGGGTGCGGGACTCCCACGTGGCTGACTGTGGTTTGAGTCCGAGACCTGCGGACTTGCTTTCTCACTTTCCCTCTTTCTCACTCTCACTGTCCCTCTCTGGTCAAATTTAGGTAAATGAATGAATAAATAAAATAAAGTTTGATAAAATGATCCCTTAAAAAATGCATAAGGAAAAAAAAAACAGTTTAACAATAATTATGAGGGCCAGCAGGTGGCGTAGTGGTTAAGGTGCTGGAATCTCACATGGCTGACTGTGGTTTAAATCTTGCACCCAGTGGCTTGGAACTCACACCAGGTACATGTGTATGTGTGCCCAAAATGCCAAGAGGAGAATGGAGGAGAACCGTGGCATGGCCAGCCCCAGGGATGGTGCTTTCTCACTTCCCCCCTCTCTTTTTTCTATCTCTCTGGCAAGTACATGCACCCTACAGTAAAAACAAACAAACAAACAAACAAAAAACCAAAAAACCCTTAACCAGCAAAAAGGATTCGCTGAAGGCTCAGGTAATTGTTAGCATCTTTCTGCAGCAAAATCATTATTTATTTATTTTTGAGAGGTTTTTGCTATAGGCTGTGTATACTTTCCATAAAGGCAGAGAGAGATAGAGAGACAGAAAGCAAGAAATCGCTCCCCCCAGGGGGGGATGGTCATGCCGCAATCCCTTCTCCATTCTCCTCTTGGAATCTTGGGCATGCATGCACACACATGTGTCCAGCGTGAGTTTAAGCCTCTGGCTCCAGGACTCGAACTGCAGTCAACTACATGGGAGTCCAGGGACACAGCCATTACACGATCTGCTGGTCCTAGCAAAATCATTCTTAACTAGGTATGTACATTTTTTTAGACAATATTATTGTACGACTGATAGACTGCAGTATAAACACAAACTTTTTTAGAGGTTTTTGCCTTAGGACACGTGTGCTTGCTGGAGAAAGAGAGACAGAGACAGTGAGAGAGAAAGTGAAAAATCACCCCTCAGGGGGATGGCCATCCCACAATCCCTTCTCCTCTGTTCTACTCCTGGGATCTTGGGTACACATGTACATGCACCCGGCATGAGTGTAAGCCATCGGGTCCAGGACTCAAACTGTGGTCGGCCATGTGGGAGTCCAGTGACATAACCACTGTGCCATCTGCTGGTCCCAAACATAACTTTTTTTGAAAAAGGTAGATTTTTGCTATAGGGCACGTGTACTCGCCAGAGAAAGAAAACAAGGAAGAAATCACTCCCGTGGGGGATGGTGACACTGCAATCCCTTTTCTTTCATTCTCCTCTTGAGATTTCGGGCATTCACGTACACGTGTCTGCTGTGTTTCAAGCTGCCAGGTCCAGGACTTGACAGCAGTCAATTACATGAGTCCAGAGCCTTAACCATTATTCCACCTGCTGGTCTATAACTTCTTTCTTCTTCTTCTTCTTCTTCTTCTTCTTCTTCTTTTTTTTTTTTTTTTTTTTTTTTTTTT